ATAAGCTATGAAAAACAATACAACTGTTTCTACCTGGTTGGGTCTCATCAGCAGTGCGAATCTCTCGGCCCGACTGGGGATCGAGTACAGGATCTTACAGGGGGTAGAATGCAAGCATACTTCCCGCTCAAACATCGAGCAGAACTGATAAGGCCGTTGTCCATTTTAGGTATACACGTTATAGCACAACCCATTTTTCGGGCATGTTACGGGCATCGCACATCTCTCCTTCTAGCATTATCCTCCGGGGTGATGTCTAGACTGGAAACATTCCAACCCAACTCTTTGCTGTATGACAGTCTCGCATTCGCAAACCAGCAGCGGATATTCACTGCCGAGCAGCTGCGTACAGTGCGTTCTCACCGGTTTTCGGGAGTGGATGAGACCCTGTACGATGCATTAATAACCGATCATTCTCACATTACTACTGATGTAATGAAGTACGACATGGCTGTTTAGAATGGGAAGCGGGACAATTCGCTCGCTATTCATTTTTGCAGGCTCTGGTGGAAAGATTGATAAANCCCCCCCCCCTGGTGTGGAACTGTGTTTTTACGCCTGTCCATGGTCTTCCACAAACGCATCAGTAGCATATTAAGACAAACGACGCATAATCATGGTATGGACTGACAAAACATTATTTTAAATAAAGGCTACTTGTGATTGCACAATACCTTTGTAATTTACCAAGTGCAAGTGATGTAGCATCAAATAAATCTGGTGTTAATTTAGCTGAATCTGTGGTAGGTTCTCCAATCGCGTTCCTGTGCTGAACTCACAACGTGAGTGGTAATTTGCTCTCAACCAGGCCTCGATTNTTGGAACGAGTCAGTTGCGACACCCCGGGGGGAAGTGATGCGTATGTGGATAGACAAAGGCGATTTTCGAATGAGCTAGTGATGAGCGAGAACGAACGATTTTCAGTCGGGTGGGGTAGCGCTAATGCCGTTGAGCGATAACTACATTGACTATAGAGTGCGTGGAACCGACCTTGAATGACCTCGTTCTGTCGAATGGGGCAAGCGAGTGGCAATACAGACGAGCAATAAACCGCACACTGTGCTCAGGTGTGATTGTCGACAAAAGAAATTCAATGGGTGGGTTCCTCGTAGGTCCAAAGTGATAAGATGGCCGGGATTTCATTGAGGACTTTGTCTACTCTAATGATATCGTTTGTTAGGATCAATTGCAATCGACTAATTGTTTTAAACATTGAAATACAGTTCAGGATTGGCACTTCACGATAGGTGTACAAGGAGCACTATTTCTCCTGAACACCGAAGCTACGTCCAAATCCACCTGATTAGGGAATCAAGACAAGATTTTTCTCTCGTGATTCTGAGGCTAGCTTACACATGAAGATATTATGGGTAATCCGGTTGTGCCATCATATTTAATGCTCGCTCGATAGAAACTCGATGGAATAACCGTTGTAGTCAGCTTTCTGTTTCGGGAACCGCCGGTCCGACCCATTTGTATTTAGAGGAAATTTGCAGGTCCCTGTTGCTGTGGAATCTTATGAGTTATTGAGTTATCCTCGCACAAGAGGATCATACTTTTCGGCGTAGTGCTCCTCATTGGCATGTGATTGTGTGTAACGGTAATCATTCAGCCTAAAGATTGGGAAGTGCTGTATATATATATATATATATATATATATATATATACATCTAGCCCTAAAGCCCAGTGTGATGATATGACCAAACATTTCAGCATAGCAGAACTGAGGAATCACACCTTGCCAAGACTGGTGATACTGAACGATAAATGAATCAACAAAATTGGCGAATGACGTGTTTGGTTGCATTGCAAGCGACACCAAGCGTTCGTGTACCGCTGATGTTACTATACTGCAATGCGAACTTATTTATGGGCTCTTGCAGCACAGCGAGGCTTTACGGGCATTTAACGACGATGGGGCAAATGCGGTAGGTAGGCAAGGCGATCGGGATGGGGGGTGGTGAGGTTATACTCCGTGGGTCAGAGTTAAACCTGTAAGACCTGCAAGACAAAGCAAACAGAATGCCACGAACCAGAAAGGTCCAGTGAGATACAAACGCTCACGATAAAATATGACCGGTGCGGTTACCAAACTTTACAATACCGGCACGGCTGTTTGTAATCCAAGTGGGTTAAAAATCCCAGTGAAATTGTTTAGATGTGAAGTGTGAATGATGTGCTTGTACTTACCGCTTTAAGATATTTATGTTTGGTAAAAAAACCACCGTTCTAAAGATGTGCGTCGATTATATGGATGCAGTAGAATCCTCTTCCTGATCCTTTGCATAAAGGGTGTCACAGAGACAGAGCATTGTTTGCAGTATCTTTGTGACTACTCTTAAATTCGATCAAAGTTTTCAGTGTCATACAGAATGTGACAAGTACAAACTAGTTTCATTCGAAAATAGACCACAATAAATACCGCATAATTTAGATGTTGTGTTGCAGTTATGTGTAAATTTGAATTTTATTCAGTGTGACCGATCAGAACTGACCATTTTCAGTCCCTTTTTCAAATAACAGGTGAACGCAGCATGATTAGAAACACCGAGCGTTCAAGACTCCATCATTTGCACTTAATGGCCATATTTTGTACATTTGGTATCTGTGTCTACGGGACGAAATCAAACAAATTCACCAATCGATTGGATTTTTGAAGCCTACATTAAGCCGAGTAGCACATTTGAATTTCAGTGCGTTGGTTGTGTCTTCTATAAGTGCTAAAAAACTGTATAATTGTTTTCGTAAACCAATGAAATAGACAGATGTCAAGCATCCCAACGCCAGCTTGACCTCCGAGTCACTTTTTCCAGATTTCCTCAACAGATGCCATGATGAGAGAGCACGGCGAAGTAGATAATGCGCATGCATCCGCAGAACACGACCGAGCTCAGAGGAGCCAGGCTTTGGAAACGTAAATTAAAAGACGACCAGACACGGCGATGTACTCTCTTCC